ATTCCTATTTCTGATGTAAACCTTAAACCAAGAAAACAAATAAATTGTAGTTTGTTCAACAAAGGTGGATATGATAGCCATATCACACAAAGACGAAGTTTGAGCACGACGTCGTAGGCGGAGTACTCAATCGTCTGATTGTGATATGAACAATCTACTCGATATGGTCAGTATATTTTTTCTACGACCCACTAACGAAAATCTACAAATTTAAAAAATTATTTTAGGTTATTTAGACAAAATAACTAATTTTAAAATAATTTACGAAGTTGACTAATTTATAAAATAAAATAAACATGAAAAATTAATTAGTCCTCGGCCTAGATTCGATCCCGGACTTTTCGCGTGGAAGGCAGATGCTCTGTCTTCATCTTCACCGAAACTTTCAGGACTTTAGTTTTAATACTCGTAATTAAATTAGTATCATGTAGTTTAATTAAAATTTATTTTTTTTTAAATGTGGACACAATAGAAACAAAAATGCTATTATTTATCGAGTCTGCACAAAAATTTTAATGTATATTTAATATCAATAACTAAAATATATATTGACAATTAGTTTAACAGAATTGTCACTTATTTAAAAAATTTTAAATAATAGGAGTTGGGTGACCAAAATATGAACTGTGATTTGTAGATTTAATTTTGTTAAAGTGTTCTTACTACCTAAAATGGATATGAAATATATTCGTAGTTGAACGCAATAACATAATTTTTCGTTTTGTAGTATGTGCGTAGATTGGCTAATATCCATGCACAGATTACAAAACGAAAAAGTATGCTATTGCCTTCAATTGAACGAATATATTTCATATCCATTCTAGGTAGTGAGAACACTGCAAAAAAAAATAAATTCGCCAATCACCGTTCATATTTTGATCAACCGACTGCTATTATTTTTAAACTTTTAAATAAATGACAATTCTGTCAAACTAATTGTCAGTATATTTTTTAGTTATTGAGATTAAACATACAATAAAATAAGTTATTCTTTTGGAAAACGTTAGCATGGATGACTAAAGGGTATTGGGTTAATTAATTCTAAAAGTGTGGTACAAATGTTATTTTTTGTAGCCAATTCTTCAAAATTATTTTGAAATATCTTTTCAATATTGAATATTAGTTCTACAAATTCATCATTGGCAGTTGCAGATTTCCAAATGTATCTGAATTGGCGTTATCATATGCCTTTAAAAAGCAATAAAAAGAAAAATCATCTATTTCAATGTTATATTTAAGACAGGTATCGCAGGAGTGGATCCGCAAGGCTTTTATTAAAAGGTAACCACACACATACCTGATAAAAATTTTCTGTAGCAATTCGTCTTTACAATAATTTAGGGTGTTAATAATTTCATCATAAAATAAAATACAAGGTGTTCCATTTAAAAAACATACATTTTAATTTGCCAGGCAAAAAACGTGACACCCTGTACATCCAAAGATATTTTTAAAATATGTAGGTATTTTTCAAATCCATATAACTTTTATTTAAAACTTTCTTGCGTGTCTACAACAAAATAATGAACAATAACGCACTAATGAGACACCCTGTATAAATTATATTTTTAACAATGAAAATTTCTTATAATGTAGTACTTATCGGTTTGGGTCCTTGGGAAAACTAAAGAATGTTTTCTTGCAGGTATAACCCTTATTAAAACAGCTTTTGACTGCACAAACAGAATGATGTCTTTTTTTTCATTAATTCTACTCACAGCTAAAGAGTCACCAAAATAATAACAGTACCTTTAACTCAAACAAAATCTACGAAATTATAGGCTCCACGAAATTATACAATCAACGAAATTATACGCACGACTCAACACCTTACCTAAGTACACTTCTGAACGCCAAAACCGTCTTTTCCCTTCGAAGGCGGAGCTTAAGCGATGCGCGACAAAATCGACGCAAACCGTTGCCGCCAAGAGAGTGTTTTAGCTGTATTGTATAAGCTGTGGTATTTGTGCAATGTCGGAGGCATATTGACCGTGGGTACTTTTCAAAAAAGTATCTAGTGGTGTTGTCAGCAAATTCTATTAATTTCATTCTTTCCAGAACTTCTCATGATACTAAGAAGTTTCTTTCTCGATGAAAACATAGTGTTCAACCTCGTTCGTGAAATAAAATAAAAAATAAATTAAATTGTTATGTGCGAAACACTGTTATGTTTTATTTTTACTGGGTGGGCTATAAAAAACTGTATTTTGTTTTTTATTTTCATTTTTTAAATAATAAACCGATTTCTGGCATTTTGTTGTATCTGGAAGTATATTTAGTTGCCTATAAAATGAGCCTAAGGACAATAAAATTGATTTATTAATAAACGAAATATATTAAAAAAGACAGAATTCGTTTTTGACGATCGTCCCGCCATATATTTATATACTTTGAAAAAACCCAAATAGTGAAGAAAAGTGCAAATAAGTGCACAGAAACTAATCGATTTCGAAAAGTACAAACAATATTCATCATGAAAAGTCGAAATTTAAAGCTTGGACTGCTTTGGAACACAACAAATAGCCTTCATGTATTTAAGAATATTTTAAAATTTTAACGTTTAACCTTCATTTTACTTTACCCAATATTATAAGATTACGTTTAATTTTTTACAACTTTTTACTTATTAAAATAATAATACATAGCTGAACTTAAAGGCTCGATGGCGGAAATTTGAAAAAAAAAAATCAAAATACAGCCTAAACACAGCACAAAAACAAGTACAAAAACTACGAAATACCAATGAATAATATACTTTCCTCAGATAAGTAACTTCGACTGAGGGTGGTGATGAAACGCGTGAGACAGAAGATCGCACTTGTTCATTTTATTATGTAGTGGACAGTAATATATCAGAAAAAAATATGAGGTAGAGTGTATATGCTATTTAATTTTTTTATTTATTGCCAAATTTGAGGGCTTCTTGCCCCAGTGTGCGACGAAGGTCGAAAAATTGAATTTGTTAAATGTTCAAATTCTTTATAACATTGTTAAAAATTAAGATATTTGAAAAAACAAAAATGCGTTTTGAACTTAAGGGATGTGACTAGTGATTCCCAGAAGGGGGCAAGAGAAATCCCAAAATTGGGCATATGGCGGAAGGGCAAAATGCACAGCGGTCTTAATTTCATTGTTTGCCTATAACGGCCAAACTATTTGAATTTTTTTAATGCCATTTACAAAGCTTACTCTTAAATGTGAAATCTTATGTGTGTGTGAATTTCACCGACATCGGACCATAATTGGCTAAGATATCAAACAATTAAATAATTTTTTTTTCCTTAAAAAAAATTTTTTTTTTCGAAAATTTGAAGTGGCCCAAAAATGCCAAAAATGCACCCAATGGCTCAAAACTTTTTTTTGAGTACTCTATTGTGTCTAGAATACGATTACATTACGGAAAATTCTGCAAATATATTTTATCTAATTTTTTGACCACTGTTCATTGAGTGACGACCAAAAAACACGGTTTTTGAGAAAAGTTGCCTAAAATTGACAATTTTTAGTTTTTTTGTCTGAAAATTAAACAAACCCAAATTTCATGTCTTCTAAATGTGTATACAAAGTTTAAAGTGTGTATGTTTCTTCTAAGTTGTAGAATTCTCCCGACAAAAGTCCCATTACACGCGCTCCGCGGGATCCAAAACTCGTGTATACACTACATTACTGTAATTTGATTTTTTTGCGATTTCCAGTTTTAAATTTCTTGCATATCTAAATTTATTAGGCTTAAAATTTATTAAATTATATTTTACTGACTTGTTATAAGACGTTTCTTGAGTTTTGTGCAAAATATAAAATTACCAGATATTAGCGAACAAAAAGCAAGCTTATCACCAAGTTGGAACTTACACTCAGGCTTAGGATTAATTTCCTAACATTTTTAAAGTATACCTATTTGTGTATTTTTTTGTGCTTTTTTCGATGGCGAAGTTACATTTTTTAAATATATATTTTTTTGTTAGATGTTTTCGGAAAACCCGGAAAAAATCATATGGGAAAAAATTAAAAAAAAACTACGCCTTCCGGTTTCCTGCGAATTCCCGAAAAATTATGTCAGATTTCGCCGCGGGACTTATTTTATTTGAGAGCCAACAAAAAAATACGCAACTTCTCTCATGGGCACATATATCTAACATTTATAATTTCGCCACAAATTCATCGCAAATTTCATGTCCATGGTTCTGATCAAAAAAACGAAAAAACGACTTTTTGGTAAAAGCACTTCTGGCGGCGAGAAATTCGCCATTAAAACTACCTGTGCAATGAATTTCCGAACTATTTTAGCCTCCTCTTTCGAATGGTGCATTTATTTTCACTATCGGAATGATACTTGCCCAGATAATTAGTATTTTTACAATGGAAAATTCTGGAAAACCCGGTTTTTCCTAATTTAAAAAAAATTGAAAAACTGCTACATCTTTTTTTTCTTTTTTTCGGAAGATCACATCAAAATACACAAGGTCCTTTTTGTTTCATCCAATTACAAATTAATGTAAGCTCGAAGGGGCTTTTTTTCGTTATTTAATTGGACTATTTCAATGATTATTTTTTCGATGTAGACTTGATTGAACTGAGACGATTGAGCACTTCGCCTACGGCGTCGTGTCCTAATTTCGCCTTCGGTCGATATGTCCATCATATCCACTCTTGTTGCACAAACTACTATTCTAATTCATGGCCTTCCCAGGGCCGCCGAGAGCCAGGTCGGGCCCCAGGACAATTCTCTAGATCGGGCCCTATGACAATGAAAAAAAAAGCTCCTCAATCAAAAAACTTAAAATTCAGTTGTCGGGCCCCCCTTATACCGCAGCCGGGTCCCCATTTGAGTCGTCTGGGTCCCGGGAATTAGTCCCGGCTACCCCTCCCCCCTCTAGTCGGTCCTGGACCTTCTACCTCAAAAAAATTTACGATGATGCTTCGATTGTTATTAAAAAATTATATTGCTTGTGTAAGAAACTTTATCTTTGAGACAATTTAACTCTTTGGTATTCTTTTAGCTGCAAAACATGTAAGAAGCAATTTGTCATTAAACAAAACTATGAATATCACTTATTGACTCATTCATACAAAGTCGATGAATTACCATATAAATGTCAACATTGCGACAGAAAATTCTCGAATCCATCTCATCTAACACGACACATGACAATCCATTTGGAAAACTGCTCTTATGGTAGCAAGTACGGAATGAAAAGGTAAGTTTGATTTTTTTACTTATATAATTTTAATAATAATTGTTTTATTGGACTGAATATTTAGTCCAATAATTTTATTATGATTAGTTTCTTTTGAACGATCTATTGGTACATTTTGTCTTTTTTCGGCATGTTTTTCTTGTGCCGAAATTGTTAACTAGATCTACTTACGATTCTCGTAAGTTTAGCATTTCATTTTTGAGTTGTTTTATTTCCTTTTCCAATTTTATAATTATTTCCTATTTATTCTTATTTTGATCTTTTTTTTTCTAACTTTTTACATATGATCAGTTTCTTGTTTAATTTCTAAAACACCTGCAGTTACACATTATTTGATGTAATCTTTGAGTTCTGTTGATTGCAAGGTAGAATTAGATTCATTATTAATAGATGATCGTCTAGGTGTTTCTTTTCCTGCGCATAGGTTAGTCCAATTAAATAGGTCTTTAAATCAAAATTTTGGAGGAAATACAGGAATTTTTGATATAAGTCACTTTAGAGTATTTGAAAACGATATGTAAAAAAAATTTGTTTTTCAAGCACCGGCAAATGTCAAAAAACAAGAAAATAAAGTGTTTTTTTAAGGTTATTTAAAAACGGTAGGTGCTATAAAAAAAGTTTTGAATAAAAATTGTAAATCATAAAGTTTTACATAAAAATGATATTTGACATTTTTTGCTATTATTAATACTGACAGAGTTAGGGTGGTTAGAAATTAAGAAGAGATATATATGACTTGGAAAAATCATAGCAAGCTGAAAATTCAATGACTTTGTAGTTTCTTTTTATTATTTACTCAGAAAATTATAAATTTCTTTTAAGAAAAAAAAATTTTTTTTGAGTTATAACAATTTTAATTTAAAAATTTTCAATTTATTATACGAATTTATATGGTAAAAGAAATTTTGAAGTAAACTTATTAGCTTGACTGACATAAAAAATATGGGGAATGAACTAATAAAAACGACATCCCGATAGTTTGGTCCCCACTTAAAGTTCCATTAAATAAATAAAAACAAAAACAAACAATTTAATAATTTACCTATTTTTATTTAATTTGTTTAACTAATTGTTATTATTTTTATTTATTTAAATTATGATTGTTTTTTAACTATTTTTTTATTTTAATTTTTTTTTTATTTATTTTTATTTGTTTTTATTTATTTACATTTTTTAGTTTTAATTATTTTTATTCATATTTATTTGTTTTTATTTATTTTTATTTATTTAATTTTTTAATTACAATTATTTTTATTTATTTTTATGTGTTTTTATTTATTTTTATTTATTTAATTTATTTACTTTCTTTTACATTTATGTTTTCATTTATTTTTGTTTAATTTCTATTTTTAATAAATTACCTATTTTTATTTAATATTTTTTAACTCTTTGTAATTATTTGTATTTATTTTTTTATTATTTATTTTTATTAATTTTTTTTATTTTATTTTTATATATTTTCTTTTACACTTATCTTTTCATTTATTTTTGTTTAATTTTATTTATTTTTGTTTTATTTTTAAAAATTTACCTAATTTTATTTAATTTTTTTAACTATTTGTTATTTATTTAAATTTTAGGTTTATTTATTTTTATATATTTATTTTTATTTATTTTCTTTTACTTTTATCATAGCAAGCTGAAAATTCAATGATTTTATTTACTCCGAAAATTATAAATATCTTTTAAGAATTTTTTTTTGTTTTTTTAAGTTATTACAATTTTAATTTAGAAATATTCAATTAATTATATGAATTTATATGGTAAATTTTGAAGTAAACTTATTAGCTTGGTGATATGAAAAATATGAGGAATGAACTAATAAAGATGACATTGCGTCAGTTATTTGGTCCCCACTTGAAGTTCCATTAAATAAATAAAAATAAAAATAAATAAAAATAAGTAAAAATAAATAAAAATAAAAAAAAATAATTAAAAAAATAAACAAAAATTTAAATAATAAATAGTTAAAAAAATTAAAAATAACAAATAATAAAAAATAAATAAAAATAAATGAAAAGATAAATGTAAAAGAAAATAAATAAATAAAAATAATTCAAAAATAACAAATAATAAAAAATAAATAAATACAAATAAATATAAATAAAAATAATTAAAACAGAAAACTAAAAAATAAATAAATAAAAATAAATATATAAAAATAAATAAATAAAAATAACAAATAAATAAAAAAATTAAATAAAATTAGCTAAATTTTTAAAAATAAAACATAAGTGTATAAGAAAATAAATTAAAATAAATGAAAAGATAAATGTAAAAGAAAGTAAATAAAAATAAAAACTATTTTTTCAAATTATATTTTCATTTTTTCTATTTGTTTTTATTTATTTTTATTTATTTTTATTTATTTTTTATAATTTTTTTAATTTTATATTTTCACTTTTTTAATTATTTTTATTTATATTTATTTTATTATTTTTATTAATTTTCTTTTACACTTATTTTCTCATTTATTTTTATTTAATAATTTACCTATTTTTATTTAATTTGTTTAACTAATTGTTATAATTTTTATTTATTTAAATTGTGATTGTTTTTTTACTATTTTTTTATTTTAATTTTTTTATTTTTTATTTTTATTTGTTTATAATTTATTTACATTTTTTAGTTTTAATTATTTTTATTCATATTTATTTGTTTTTATTTATTTAATTTTTTAATTACAATTATTTTTATTTATTTTTATGTGTTTTTATTTATTTTTGTTTATTTTTGTTTATTTTTATTTATTTGTATTTATTTTCTTTTACTTTTATCTTTTTGTTTACTTATTTTCAATTTTTTTTTAATTTACCTATTTGTATTTATTAATTATTTATATTTATTTTTATTTAGTTCTTTTTTGTTTGTTTTTATTTTTATTTATTTAATGGAACTTTAAGTAGGGACCAAACTGTCGGGATGTCGTTTTTATTAGTTCATTTCCCATATTTTTTATGTCAGTCAAGCTAATAAGTTTACTTCAAAATATCTTTTACCATATAAATTCGTATAATATATTGAAAATTTTTAAATTAAAATTGTTATAACTCAAAAACAAAATATTTTCTTAAAAGAAATTTATAATTTTCTGAGTAAGTAATAAAAAGAAACTACAAAGTCATTGAATTTTCAGCTTGCTATGATTTTTCTAAGTCACACATATCTCCTCTTAATTTCTAACCACCCTAACTCTGTCAGTTTTAATAATAGCAAAAAATGTCAAATATCATTTTTATGTAAAACTTTATGATTTACAATTTTTATTAAAAACTTTTTTTTATAGCACCTATCGTTTTTAAATAACCTTAAAAAAACACTTTATTTTCTTGTTTTTTTGACATTTGCCGGTGCCTGAAAAACAAAATTTTTTTACATATCGTTTTCAAATACTCTAAAGTGACTTATATCAAAAATTCCTGTATTTCCTCCAAAATTTTGATTCAAAGGTCTATTTAATTGGACTAGGTGACATACATATTTTTTTTAAGCTATTAAGAGGAAAATTTACATTACAAACTGAAAGACCTGCGGGGCAACGGTAGTTTAGTAGGTATAAAAAATTACAACTTAAGGGTGGAGCCTAAATACTACAAAATTACTTCCGAGACTAAACAAAATCCGCATTCATTCATAATTTTAACAATTGCCCGTAGATACGAGGGATACGTATTCCAAACTCTAACGCGCCAAGTTGAGACTCGTAGGAACCTAAAAATCCTACAACGGCTGCCGACAGACGTTCATCAGTTCTTGTTCTTGAGTGAGTCAGAGTTACCTAAATTAGGGGAACTAGAATCGTATTTGTTTTTCTCGGTGCATTGCGAGATATTGTTATAACGCAGTTCGATTTTTTAGAGGGTTTTACATTATTTTTATATTTTAATTTAGTGAATAGGTTTAGTTAGATTAAATTAGATTTAAGAATATAGAATTGTGAAATATAAATACAAATAACGAAAAAATAGGCGATTGGTTCGAATAAGGTAATTTAATACAGGGTATTTATTAATTGAGTGCCGATACTTAAGGGTGTGAATCCTTGGGTGTTAAAGTTTTAAGAAAAAAATAACTATTTTATTTTGCCCAAAAAAAAGTGTTTCCACTCATGGTGGGTTCCTACCAGAGATAACCAGTTATCTCTGGTTCCTACCAAATTTCAACAAAATATCAAAAGCAGTTTCAATAAACTGGTTTTTATTTTCTTACACGAAAAGGGTGCGTCGTACGAAAGTACGTCTATAAACCAAATTTGCTCCAAAATAAATAAGGATTTTAAAGATAATTTTGGTTTTTAGAAAAAGCAGTGGCGTACTATATTTTTGTTCAAAAATATTCTGTTCAAACCCGGTACGGACGTCACTAGAAAAAAATTAGAAGTCTTTTACGACAAAAAGGCGGGATTGAAAGTGAAAGTTTAGTCTGTTGGTACATAATATACTATATTTATATATCTAATTTTTATTATTACACTGAATGTGACATGGCTTTTTTGCTTGCCGTTTTTGGATTAACAAAATATTATTTTAATGATTTAAAATAAACTGCCAGTAATAATAATTATCTGTACTTAAACATATACAAAGTGTTCATAAAACGACGCATCAAGAAAGCACCAAATTATTAAACTTTTAATTTACGTAACAAGTATTAAAAGTAATTTTAAAAAACCGACTTTAAAATCGTGGTGATGCCATCACCACATCTTAACCAAATTTATATGGGACCACCCCTGAGGTACCCCCTTACTAACGAAAAGATTTATAGAAATCGGACAAGGTGGTAAAGAATTATCGCTAAACATACATAAAAAAATGAAAAATTTGAGAATTTTCTCATGGACCCAATTATTAGATTTTGACCAAAATTAAAAGGGACCATCCCGGAAGTATCCTCTTTCCAGCAAAAAAAAAGAATTATCGCTGAACATACATAAAAAAAATATATACAGACGAATTGAACCTCCTCCTTTTTGAAGTAGGTTAAAAAGGATATAATAA